GAGCTAAATAAACTTTCCCTTCTTTAAACTTGAGTGTTAAATATTTTGTCTCAGCAATGAGAAAAAGTAACTAAGACAATAATAATATCAATATAATATTGAATAAGTATCAATATTGAATAAGTATCAATATTGAATTCAAAGTATCAATATTGAATAAGATTTAAAAGACTAATAATGAGAAAAGATTTAAAAGACTAATAATGAGAAAAGATACAATAATCTAACAGCATATGTTCAGTCTGATTGACCTACTAGACAGCTGATTATTAGTAAAAAAAAAAAAAAAAAAAAAAAAGCTACTGGCTAGTCTGCCTTACTAATATACATGCAAAAATTACAAATAAACATTATTTAGCTAAATTTGAGAGGGGCTGGGTTTTTTTTTCCAGGTGAGATCTCACTATGTAGCCCTAGTTGACCTGAAATTCACATCAATTCTCCTGCTTCAGCCTCCCCAGTGCTGAGATTACAGTGCTGAGATTTAGCTAGCTATATTTGGCTAGCTAAATTTGATGATGTGGATGCACCTACTCGGCACAGCCCTGAGGGTTGGCCATCTTTGTCTGCAGTGCACTACAGACGCAGTCAGGTTCACAGAAATGGCCTTAACACTCACTGTCAGCCTGCAGTTTACGTCCAGGTGTCCCCCGAGGGCCTTGTGGGCTTGCAGGCGGGGCTTTTGCAAGAGGACTGAGCCATAGGGCACTAGAGCTGACTTGCTGTTAGGGGTTGGTGAGGTGAGGTAGGTGGATCACTGAGGGAGAAGCCTGGAAAGTCCTATCCCCCTCCCTGGCTCCTCCCTTCCTTCCCAGTTCCTGGCCACCATGCAGCTCTTGTGCTGTAGCCCACAAGACACAGACAAAAATGTCTGAAACCTAAGCCCAAACAAACCTCTTCTTTCAGTTATGGGCCTTGGGGATTTTCCCCAGCCACAAAGAAAGTCATGAAGACACAAGGCACTCTACATAGCTTGTGTACGGTCAAGGGCCCCATCTTAAGAAGCCGAAGAAGGGAGCTGCAACAGGGAGTGGACAAATGACCATGGGATGTTTCCTTCCACCATACAGCCCACTGCAAAGCTAGAATGATGGGATAAGCTAACAAAACTGAGCTGTCAAGCGGGAGCAGCATCTTGTGGGCTGGGGTACTGTCCCTCTGGATTATGTAGAACCCATCTCAGCTAAGCAGTGCACATCTCTTGTAGCTAAAATGCAAGATTCATGACACACTAGGTGACAGGAGAGTGACCTTTCTCTCTCACTAACTCATGACCAGTGACCAGCGGTACAAGGTGGGCTCTCTATTTCTGAAATACTGTATCACAGCGATTCCTAACTTTGATCCAAAGACTGTAATAAGTAATTACCACAAGCACAATCTAGTAGGGTCAGAGCAGTAAGAATGCATTTTCCCTTTGGAAACAGCCTGAGTCTTAAACAAACAAGCCAGGTCAGACAATATTTGAGGTAGGTATGGGGGTGCCTAAAACAAGTGGTGGAGGAGGGAGCTAAAGGATATCAATTGGAGCCTTGGGGGCAATTGCAGAAGTGGAGACTTTTAACTTGTGTGGCTAACACTCTTGCCATATCATTCAGGAACAAGACAGAAGCTCTACAGTGAATTCCCAACAGGGCAGATATCATCCCCATATGGACAAAATTTTAGATCTGGTAGAGGAGACCCTCAGATATAATAGTATGTGATTATCTGAAGTTCAACTTTTCTACAAGCCATGCGGCCTTGGAGGTTCCTGGTGTGAAGGACCATGAGAGGATGAGAAAATAAAGAAGAGACAAAGCTGGGGTCAGGAGCTCTTATCCTCCTGATGGGAGGAAACGCACTGCTCAACCCATGAAGCACACTTTTTTATACACTCAGAAGGATGCTCTCAATTTCAACCCTACTGCCTAGCACCCCACTGCTTGGGTTGTTTAGAGATTTGGTGCTTTCCTGGGCTGAAGCAGCTTCTTCACATGGCTTGCACCGGGCCTCTTTGTTCTTGGGATGGCCATGCCATAGCCCTGCACATATGGTCAGTTTCCAGCTTCAACAGCTCCCAACACAACTAGATTTTTGAATCAGGGTCTGCTTTCTAAAAGGTCCACGTTACATCAGTAGCAGAAGTGAACCATAAATGTCCCTCATAGTCAAGTTATAACAAAAGTAAAGAAAAGAAAGAACAAAAAGCATTCTGGTCCCAGTCAAATCACTCACCCTTTTTCCTGGCTGTGACCAGACAGACAGACAGACAGGCAGGCAGATAGGCAGACAGACAGAATAGCTTGCCTCTTCTTTCTGCTGTTCCCCCGCTGCTGCAAGCATTAATAGAGCATGTCGTGTCACTAATAAACTTAACCCAGGAAATACACACTTCTGCTTGCATGGGGAATACAGCACCATATTAGAAGGCACAAGAAAGCAATGAAGCAAAATTGGCTAGCAAAACTGTGCTAGCTTCCATTTCAGGGTCTGTTTCTCCAGGCCTCCAGATGAACCTCTCAGTACCACTTTCACATTTCCTGTAAGCATTATAAACCCAGACTCGATTTCTCTCCAAACTCCCTCCCAGTGCCAAGGCCCACTCTGGTGGAGTAGGCGCCCTTGTCTGTTGCCTTCCACTGGAGACACATCTCCTCAGAGTCCCAGACACCAGCAGAGGCATTGAGCTGGATTGTCTAGGTATTTAGTGAAACCTCCCCTCTTCCAGACATTGCAGAGAAACATAAGGAGCTCTCAGAATACTTCAGCTGGGGACAGAAGACACACACAACAAGCAACTCACTTGCTTTGAACAGCAAGAGCCAAAAGGCAAGTAGGAAATCGTTTGGAGAAAGAGCACTTAATGGTAAGGCTACCAAAGAAGAGATCAGATCTACCTGTGAGGTTCCCCATTGGCCTCATCAAGATGAGGATGTGAATGTCTCCATGTGTCTAGAGGGAAGCACTTTGGGGGCATCTCCCCAGGGATGCCAGAGGAGCTACAGATCCCAGGCGAGCCGGCAGGCACCGTGACTCCCATCACTCTGTCCCCAGCTCTCTGTCTCCACTTGCACCCTGCTTAGTACAAGAAGGCCTCAGAGTGGATTGCAGTGACTTCTCAGTCTATCTGCATTCAGAGGTAAGTCTTTCTAGACATTAGCACTGGTCTCAGAACAGTTGGTGCAAGGCTGCTGTGGCTGGGAGAGTAGTCCAGGAGAGGAGGTGGGAGCTTGTCACTCAGAGAAACACAGGTCCCTCTCGTCCAGCCAAAACCAGCCCAGAACATAGAAATCACAGGACTCGCTGAGGGCAGTCTGCAGCCTAGGTACAGATTCCCGCCAGTTCTTTACCTCATTTTTTGTTCTCATAGAGGGTCTCCCTTCTGCAGCTGTTTCCCTGTTCCGGTTTGTAAGCCAAACTCCTCAGCAGCAGAGAGATCCCTGAGCTTCCATTTTCCAAAATCTGAGAAATAGAGATTGCTGTCTTCTGGCTTCTCTGGAAAGAATGAAACCTTTGAGAGACAACCTCTTTTAATGGGAAATAAAAGAAGAGAGAGGCAGGGAAATGAGAGGGAGAGAGTATCAGGAGAGGAGAGAGACACAGCAGCACCTTCTGTCTCTGATTCTGCTATTCTGCTTTTCTGCGTGACGGACACAGGCCAAATCCCATGAGTTAACTTCCGTTTCCTGCTCTTCAGGGAAACTTTGTGAGGTATCAGTAGTTTTCTCATCACTTACAGTTTTAAAACCAAGTTTTGTTTTGACACTAAAGACCATCTCCGGGCATTAGAGAGCTAAGATGGGCCCGATGGAAGGCTTCAGTTTCACATCCAGTTCTAAGTGTGCATCCGCTCCCTGAGCTCAGGGTGGGAGATGACAGGAGGGGACAGGGCAGTCTGCCCTTCCCTTCTCTTTTAGCCTTGCAGCTCCACTATCCTATCACCGCTGCTGATTTGTTTTTCCTTTTTTTCTTTTTTAGTTTTATAGGGTCAGGGAGAAAAGATGAAATGGACAAAGGTCTGTCCCTATGAAACACCAGCAGCCAGTGCCTTTGGTGTGACAGGCTGGCTTCCTACACGGCTGTCTTGGGTGCTTCCAGGCCTCATTTCAAAGTGTGCATCATTGTGCAGTTCCTTGACGAGAGCCCTGTTCTTCCTCTGTCATCTCCACAACACATTTCCCTCCCATCAGAGCCACTCCACAGGCCCCCACAGTGACTTCCTTCACCACCCCACAGGCTCTTTCTTGGTTGGAGTCCCATCATGAGGCAGCTCAAGATCAGTGAGCCCTGAAGTAGGTCTGTGCTTGTAGGAATCACACCCCTGCCAGCCTCCCTGTGATTGAGAAGGCAGAATTTCCCTACCAACCATGGTTCTCTCCCCTGCCCCTGTCCAGTGGGCTGATCCACTGACACCCCCACCTCTAGAAGTGAGAAGCTAACTTACGTCTTCTCAGATCTCTGGGTCATCAAATGGAGCCCCAAATTAAAAGAAGTCCTGATCATTCCTTCGTGGATTCACGCACCAAGAGCTGTGCTTTGGAATCCTCCTTGACTTTGGTAGGGAGCAGAACACTTACATCCTACTCCCGTTAGGACCCCAAACTCTTAACTTCCATCTCTCTTTGAATTTCTGCCTTCTTAGATTTAAAAACAATACAGGCAGTCTTGGGGCCCATTTTCTCATTTTTAAGAATCCTAGCAGGAGTATCTAGCATCTTTAGAATGAATGTGTGATTCATAGGGTGGATTTAAACAACAGTTGGCACTAACTGAAAACAATCCAATTCAAAGCCTGTTGAGGGCTTAAGTCGCATTCCCTGAGAAGCCAATAGCATGCCCTGAATTTTCCTTCTAAGGGATTCTCTGACTGCACAGACAAGACAGCCCCTCTTATAGTCGCCCTTCTACTTGTTAGACTGAAGGCATTTCATTCCCTTTACTGTACAGGAAGTGCCCCCCTGCCTTAAACAGCTGCAGCTGGAAAATACCATTCTGGTTTTCCTTGTGCAAATGTAAAGACTTTGTCTTCCTTTCTTCCAATTAGCAGAAATATGAACCAAAGGAACCAGACCACCGTCTCTGAGTTCATCCTTCTGGGACTTACCAACGAGAAGGAGAAGCAGAGCCTCCTGTTCGCACTCTTCCTGGGCATGTACCTGGTCACTGTGGCTGGAAACGGGCTCATCATTCTGGCCATTGTCCTGGACACCTGCCTTCACACACCCATGTATCTTTTTCTTGCCAACTTGTCCTTTGCTGACATCTCCTCCTCTTCTACCTTCATTCCAAAAATGCTGGTGAATATTCAGACCAGCAGTCAGTCCATCTCCTATGACAGCTGCGTCACCCAGATGTACTTTTCCATCGTCTTTACTGTCATCGACAATTTCCTCTTAGGAGTCATGGCCTTTGACCGCTTCGTGGCCATCTGCCACCCACTGAAATACACAACTGTCATGCATGCCATGCTTTGCATTTTGCTCACAGTCATCCCGTGGGTCCTCGGTAACATCGTTGCCCTAACACACACCCTTCTGCTCATCCGACTGGTCTTCTGTGACAGCAACACTCTGTCGCACTTCTTCTGTGACTTAGCCCCCCTCCTCAGACTGTCCTGCTCTGATGTAATGGTCAACGAGCTTGTGGTCCTTATCGTGGGCTTGTCGGTCATCATCTTTCCCTTTGCCGTCATCCTTTTCTCCTATGTCTGCATCATCAGGGCTGTGCTGAGACTCTCTTCCCTAGGAAGAAAGTGGAAAGCCTTCTCCACCTGCGGCTCTCACCTGACTGTGGTGTTGCTCTTCTACGGGACCATCCTAGGGGTTTACTTTTTCCCCTCATCCACTCATCCAGAGGACACGGATAAAATTGGTGCCGTGGTCTTCACCGTGGTGACACCCATGGTGAACCCCTTTATCTATAGTCTGAGGAACAAGGACATGAACAGTGCCCTGTGGAAGCTCATCAGTAAGAAACGGGGTTCCTCCCTCTGATGCCACGGACATCTGAATTCTTTGATCCACATAACCAAATGGCTTACTCATCCCAGATTTATGGCATAGTTGTGGTAGTTTAACTTTGTAAATTTTCACTTATTTGCCTTCTGTTCCAATCCTTGAGGCCTCTGTGCTTTTCTACAGAACTCTGGTCCTAGAAACAAGATCCTCTAACATCAAAATAACACATGTCTTGATTACAATCTGTTACCTCACTTAAAGTACAAGTTGTGCTTGTAGTGCCTATAGTCTAGCATTTGATGCTTTGAATACAGTTACTATTAATCCTTTGTTCATCTGGGTCTTTCCCAAAGTTTGCTTCTATTTAGAGAGATATTTAATTGTAAAAAATGAATTCAGTACTTCTGCTTCCAAATAATTTGGGGCAATGCTGAATTAAGTGAAGCAAAATGTCATTAACTATACAACACCTCAGAGTCTCGCCATACACCATCTCACATTCAAGTAAGGCAAAGTACAAATAAGGAGCAAAATAAGGGATTAGTATGAGGAGATGAGATGGGTCTTCTGCAAATGAGAAAGGACACAGGAGATCAATGGGGAGGAGAGGGAGAGAAGGGAAAGAGACGTAAAATAAAATGTACTTAACACTCCCAATGAACGCAGATGCTGTAGGTCATAAACATGAACTAAAAATAGTAGCAACAACAACAAAAGTGAGGAAAGAGGCTTTGGAAACAGCGGGAGGTGGGTGGGTGGGAGAAGTGTGTTGGCTCCTGCACCTACTCCCTAAGATGCAAATTTCATGTACTGCCAAGAGGTACAAATTTTAAAGGGCAATGTGGAGTGCAGCACTTCTCACAGCTAAACTTCAGTAATCTAGAATCTAATATACCACAAAGTGGTTCGTGGATGTAACATTGCTCAGAGTATGTTTTGGGAGATATGATTCCAGGTGACTTTAATTATTTCAGTGAAAAGCCATGGAACTGTGTGTGAATAGAAAACACATTACAGTCCTGACTCTGTCCTCAGCAGCGATGGAAACTTTAAACATGCTCACTTTTCTGAGCCTATTCCCTCAGCTATGAAATGAGGTCACTGGTCTACACCCCTTCTTGCTAGCGGAGGCTGGACATCAGAACTGTCAGTGGGTACTTTCAAAATTCACACCCTCAGTCCCTGCAGTGCCTTTTCTATTTGGCCGGCTGCATGGTTTGGGCTTAGATCAGCAAAGTCATCAAACCCACCCCAAGTCGATCTTACGGAGCACTAAGGGAGGATGCAGGACACCCACAGCCACAGGGACAAGGCAGCTCAGAACTCAGGACTTCCCAGTATGCCCTGCCATGGCCCAGGATGTCCACACTCCAGACGCGAGTGATTAAGACAGAGCACTACATGGACGCTGCCCACCCAGGCCCGGAGTCACATGAGCTCTGGGCATCTGCGGTTGTGCACCCTGCTAGTTGCCTACCCTACTCCTGTGTGTGATCAGCACCCACTGCTGGAGTAGCTGCATCTAGTATAGGCTAGGAAGGGAAGTTAGTGGCAAGGGGGCTGGAGCCACGGCTCAAACTCTGAGGATGCTGAGGCTAACTAAGCTACAAACCTGGTTTTATCCGGACTCCACCTTGGATGCAATGACCCAGCCCCTCCTGTGAAAGAATCAGGCACTCGTGTTTTGGAAACGCCCAGGGTCGCACTCAGGACAATCATTTAAAATTGTTCCTTAGCCTTGTAGCCCTGTCCTGGGCCCCTAACTTCCCCTGACCTGTAAGCTCCAACAGATGGGAGGGAAGTTCCATCTGCAGGAACAGAAAGGCTGCTTTGCCTGCAAATGGACCTGTACACAAGTTGGAAATTTGCCAGAGGACATGAATGAGAATTAGGATTACAACAGGGAAGACAACTGATTAAGAAAAGAGAATCACGGGCGTGAAGACCATGACAAGCCTTCACAGCGGAAGGACAGAAATCTGTACTTTGAGTCTTACATTTCCCTGAGTCTTTCTCCAGTTTTCTCTTTTCCACAATCGTCATTGGAACTTCTTATTGAAGCCTCTGAGTCTGGTAGAGGGATTGAAAGAACAGAGAACTCACAGCCCGTGACCTCCGGGCACTATCAAACCAAAGGGAGAAGCATAAAAATAAATTTGCCTGACTTTAATAAAGGCAATATTTGGTCAGTAATCACTGTCATTAATTTAAAAAGCATAAAGAGCTTCTGCAAAGTGCAGTTAATTTTACACTATTCTTGCTTGTGGTAGTTATGCCTGAGAAAAACCAATTCTTGCTGTTATTATTAAACAAAGAGACTTCTGACCTCTAATTGAAACTAATATAAGTATGAGAAGATTTTAAAAGACCAAATACAGATGCACATAGGAGAGGAATACCCTGTGAATCCCAATGTATACGATGCCAATAAATACTGATTTATTTACCTACTGAACCAAACTGTTTGAGTGCCTAGTGTGGGTTAACGGGAAATAAGGTGGTGGTGTTCAGTTCTTGGCTATGACTTTATAGTAGGCAAGACAGACAGTGGACATAAAAAATGAACAAATAAATGAACAATGGGCCCGGTGTGAGGCAGAAAGAAGCCGTGTGCCGGCAGGGGCAGCAGGACTGCAGGCGTGGACGAGGGCGGACCGGCTATTTCGGGTCGGCAGGTTCAGGACTCGGGCTCAGCTCTCAGGTGTCTGAGCAGAGAATTGGGGAAACAAAGCAGTGAACAGGGGGATCTGGAGACTCGTGCCAAGCGAGGGGAGGAGTGGTTTGGAGGCAGTTCCTATGGGAACAGGCTTGGCTTTCTTGAGGGGCAGAAAGCAGACAGGGGTGGAGGTGATTTCTGACCCAGGCAAGGTGAGGTGTGTGGCCCATTAGGGAAAATTCATATTATTTAAAATGAGCTACGTCTTTAAAGTCACAAGACCAAATGAAATTCTCTCTCCTGAGAGACCATGACGATGCCCTAAGAGGCCTTCAGGTGATTTTCTAAGGGAAAGGAGGGAATAGCTACTTCAAATGCTGGAGAACCAACAGGATCCCCAGGGGTGTCACCTTCTCTGCTCTGCTGTCATCAGCACAGCTGCTGCCTCAGCACGGAGGTGAAAAGGCCCTGAGGCCGGGACAGTGGGTTTGTGAGAGGAGGCAGACATCTCATGCCCTTCCCTCCACTTGTATGTGTCTGCCTGTCTGTTTTAAATGACTCAGCTCTCAGCCCTCCTTCAAGAGTAACAGGAGCCAATCACATATTTTATGAATAAGCAGAAGAAAGGAGCTTGAAGTCTCCAAACACAGAGTAGTGACAGGAGATGCAGGTGTTGGTTACCCTGGATGGATTCACGTGTGTCCCATGCATTGAAATATCACACCATGTGCTTTAACATGCACAACTGCCATGGGTTCAGGAATTGTTTTTAAATAGATACATAAATAAATAAAGTAGATGGCATGCAGCTTAGGCAGTGCTATCTGTGACCTTTTTAATCACCCAAGAATGGTCAGAAACATCTTTAAGTTATTTGGAAAATGAAAAGAATTTAAAAATACATAAGTTTTTTTTAAAAATTTTTAATTTTAAATAATAGTAATAATAATTAAAGAAAAGAATTCATATACTATGCTCAAATAAAGAATAACCCAAAAATATATGAATGATTTAACATGGAAAAGCAAATAATGCTACTCAACATATTAATAAACAAAAATAAAACGAAATCATTATAACTAGATGCAGGAACACTTATGAAAGATCCAAAACCCATTCTTCACTTAAAAAAAAAAAAACAGAATGAAAGAAAAATTTTCAACAAGTTGAAAATCAAAGGGAGCTCTTAATCTGATTTTAAAGGGCTCCGATGAAAAATTTACGTAACAAATGGTAAAAAACTGAAAGTGGCCTTACAATCAAGAGCAAGAAAGGAGTTTATGCTTTTCTCACTTCTATTCAATGCTGCAATTCCCAATCAAGGTTCCAATAGACATTTGTTGTAAAAACGGAAAACCTGCTTTTAAAAAAACAACGTGGTAGTTAAAAGGACCTAGAAGAATGAAAACAATGTAGTGACTGTGGTTTGAGGACCAGCCTCACTGAGGTCTGGACATGTTAGTACTCAAGATGGCATGATTTCAGCTTAAAGAGACAAACGAGTCATTGAAATGCAGAGTCCAGAGAACAGCCCCAAGGACATGATCATTGATTTGTGACAAACACGCAAAGATCACAAAGTTTAATTGTAACCTTAACTGTATACAATTTTTATCTGTCACTTAAATATTTTTATGTTAAAATATTTTGAGAGGACAAAGGACATGAATAGGCATTTCTCCAAAGAAGGCTCACAGGTCACCCACAGGTATCCAAAAAGATGTGTAACGCGGTTGATCAGCAGAGGAGTTCAAAACAAAGCGGACTGAGGCAGCGTCTCACAATGCTCAGATGATCATGATTAAAAAGTAGAAAAAAACAACAAATGTTTGTGAGGTGTGGCGAAATTAGGAATCTCACACACCCTTAGTGGAAATGCAAGACAGCGAAGCTGCTTTGGAAAACAAAGTGGTTCCTCAAAAATTAAAAACCGAATTATTGCCTGACTCGGAAACCCCTCCTGTATGCACCCATGCAAAAGAACTGAAAGCAAGACCCCGCAGAGATGGCTGCACTGCATGCTCCGGGTGTAACATAACAGCCAAGATGTGGGGACAGCAAAAAGTGGCATGGTGATTTCTGGGGGACAGGAAAATGGGACTGTTCCTTGTGCACATAAATTTTCAGTTACACGAGATGACTACCTTCTGGGGCTCTACTGCAGGCTACTGTGCAACAAAACACAATGAAATTTTTGCAAAGATAGGTCTCACATGATCCATTCATACTGCAATATTTGTTAAGAATATCTAGCCATGTACAGTGTAGGTGAGAATTTAAGTAAGGGCAATTTTCAGGCACTGCTGACACTGTTGATGAGGAGTTTTCCTCCAGGAGTTTTCTAAAATGTTAAACACGTACCTGCTTTATCATGCAACCATTCCATCCTTAAGCATTTATTAAGAGAACTAAAAGTATCTTTCTATTCAAGAGCTTCCCATGAGCACTCATGATAGCTTTATTTCTAATAGCCAGAAACTAGAAATAACCCAGGTAGCCATAAGCAGATGCAAAAATGAGCAAACACAGGACAGCCACACAATGTAATAATGCCCAGCAGTGGGACTGAGCTACCGATAACATTAATGATTCTTGGAATGATTATGCTAAGTTGAAGAAATCATGTGTTATTTTTATATAAAATCACAAGTTGTGGTGATAATTTCATGAGTGTCTCCATATGTCAAAACTTATCAAAGTATACACTTCATGTTCAGTTAATGTTAATTAAACTCAACAAACTCATTTTTTAATTCAGAAAGGATTTCAGATGATAAGGAGGAGGATAGAGTGACCAAATATAATGAACTCTGTCTGTACACAATTATATTTGCATGCAGTGCATATATTTTTAATGCTACTAAGTAATAAGAATTAACAATGATTAGTATTTGTAACATAATATTGAAATTCTTTAGATTTGAAATTTCTTTGAAATTTGAAATTTCTTTGAAATTCATAAGATTTTTTTTAAAAAAGCAAGGTTAATGGCTGAGTGTTGACACCATACTGATTAGCTTCCAAAAGTCTTGGAAGGCAATAGTTCATCTGAACAAATCCTGCTCTTTCTTTGGAAGCTGAAAATCCCCCCAGATCTGCACTGAGTCCTAAGACAGCCAACATAAGTCCGTGAACTTCACTCTTACCTCAGACCTAGAATGCACTCACCTTAACCCACATCAAATAAATGTTGAGCTAAGAGCACAACTGAAAACCATTCAGCTCTGGAGAAAGCTGCAAGGATTTGGGACCTTGGAGAAGGAAGGGGAAGAGAATGCAGAAGTGATAGCAGTTAAGGTAAACCACACTGGAATAGGAGAGAACTAAGATCACAGTCCTCCCTATGGGTCATTTTCTTGCTAGATAGCATCGGTAAGTCACATAACCTTTTTGTGTCTTGATGGATTATTTTCTTTTGCTAAGTGGAGTCAATAATTATTTTCCATTAAAGTTGTTAGGAGAACTAAAATAAATTATTCATGTAAAGCTTTTAGTGCCTTGCATATGATAGGGATGCATTAGCTTAAGAGTTAAGTGAAAAAATTATTAGTGAACGCTCCACTCCTGGAAGTGTCTGCACTTGAAATTAATCTGGGCCCAGAAGGGACTATCCTAGGCAATTCTGAAATAAAGAAGCTACTTGTCTCTCTGCCCATTAGTATGCATTGTGCTTGGAGTCTGGACGATTGTCTTAATCATATGTGCTAATGGTGATAAAACTTACTGAGCACTTTTCCATTCTCCATGTGCACCAAGCTGTTTTGAGAATAAATGAGATAAATGTAAAGCCTGGAGCAAGTATTCAGTGAATATTATGTCACATACAGGAAGTAGGTTGAAAGTCACCAACTGAGCTGAAGCCATACTTTGGTGCATAATTCTGAGCCTCTTCTGGGACATGAATACAGCTAACTAACGCTGATCGCAGAAGCGCATGTGTTCAGGAGGTGTTTGCATGGCAAACAAAACCTGAAAACTGGCCAGCAGGATGCACAGTACATCCCACTCAGTAGTTTTACTGATTAATTATTTGTGCAAACACAGACAAAAGTCCGGGTGTGAACACCAGTCTCTCAGCCACAGTAAGATGTCTCTGACTGTATCTTTTCATGTATTTGTCTGCCCAAAACTGTCCTAAAATACTTGTCCTATGTCCTTCAACTGAAAGCTCAGATGAATTATTTAATCTATATTCACTTTATCATACACAACCGTGCATGCACACACACACACACACACACACACACATACACACACAAGTCACATGATGCAATTCCAGTAATTACCAGGCTAGGAAGTGAATGCCGTTTACTGCCTGTCACCTCCGCGAGGTGGACTTTATTTTTTCTCCACCAAATAAAAGGAAAATGTAGAAAGATGATAACAATACATTTCAAACCAGGGATGGCAGCTATGGCAGTTAGGAGATCTGGCTCTGGCAGGAGGAAGCAGCCCTCACCACCCACCCCCTCACTGACCTTGGGGAAATTGCTCAGCCCCTCTAAGCCTTAAGTGCTTCATCCACTGGCAGTGAGGAGTAATAATAGGACATGCTTCATAGGTGTACCCTGCCGGCTGAGTAAGGTAAGTCCTATAGCAAACTGGCTGTTAAGTCCTGAGAGTTAATAATGCCTAATAAATATTAGTTCCTACCTATAGATTTTACCCTGACCATTTTTATTAAGATTCCAAAAGCCCCAAAGCAATAAGAAGGCAAATTTTGTAAAGAACAAATGAAGACAAAGAATTCATAAACAAAATGCAACCTGCACAGGAAGCACTTCCCAGAATCAACAGCTGGGAGCTCTTCTTATTAAAGTTTTGTACTTCAAAAGAAATCACCAACAGAGTGAAGAAGAGAAAAGCCACAGAATGGGAAAGAATTTTAGCCAGCAATCCCTCAGACAAAGGACTTATATCCAGAACATATAAAGAACTAAAAAATATTAGGCCCCCAAATTCAAAGACCCTCTCCAAAAATGGACAACTGAAATGAACACACAGTTCTCAGATGAATAAGTACAAATGGCAAATAAATAACTACATGATATGCTCAACATTTCTGGTCATTCAAGAAATGCAAATTAACACAACATTGAGATTCTGTCTCACTCCAGAAAGAATGGTTGCAATCAAGAAATCAACTGATAACAAATGTTGGCAAGGCTGTGGGGAAAAAGGAACACTGCTCCACTGTTGTTGGGAGTGTAGACTGGTGCAGACACTGTGGAAATCAGTATGGAGAGCTCTCAAAAAACTAGGATTGGAAGTCCCATTCAATCCAGCCATTCACCTCCTGGGTATTTTCCCAGAAAACCTGAAAAGGTCATATCACAGTGATATATGTGTACCCATGTTCATAGCAGCACAATTTTTAATACTAAATCTTGGAAACAACCAAAATGTCAACAGAGTGAATGAAAAAGATGTGGTATTTTTATACAGTGGAATATTACTCAGCTATGAAAAGGGATGATCTTGAGGCTTTTATGGGTAAATGGAGGCAACTTGAGAATATCCTGAAAAGTGGAATAAATAAGACTCGCATTTATAAATATCATATTGTCTCCCTAATATAAAAATAATAAAACATAAACATCTGAAAGAGTAATAAGATCCAAAATATACAATAGATATTGCAATAATGAAAGGGAAAGAAAGTGCTCAAAAGGACAGAACTACTGGGATGGGAAAAGGAAGGTATTATATGTATGTTGGTAAACATATATAAATGTATGCAAGTATATGTATGCTAGATAGATAACTATACTACTAATCTCTCTTAGTTCATAGAAAAAGACAATTTGTGCTGTCATTATTTGACTGATCACTTTTGTGTTTAGATTTGTAACCTGAACAACTAGTTCTGAGATAACAATGTACAATATATTAACTAGCATTAATTCCCTACTTTTTTTTTGAAATTCCGTGTCATATCTATTCTTGTTGTCTGTTTTGCTTTTTAAAATAAAAAAAAAAAAATGAAGAGACTTGGAAAACTCACCTCAGTCCCAGCACTAATTGCATTTGTAGGTAACCTGATAATTTCCCAGCCCTTTTTTCTCCACTTATCAAGTATGCATTGTGTCAGAGAACATAATGGGTCTAGGAAGTGTTAGTGAATAAGCCAGACGTGGCCCCTGCCCAACCGTGCAGTACATCCTCAGCAATGTAACTCCATGATGCAGGTCAGCCCACTGGACAGATGACGAAGCAATGCCTACAGAACTGGGGTCTTAAAGATAAATGCTGGAACCTGGGCACAATACATTCATTCAACAAGCATTTATTGCTTTTTAGGTACTTTACTGGCATCAGGTATTGCCATCTAATGTCCAGCTGTGAGAATCAGGCATTATCCAACACATAAAACATCCAGCCTGCCAGACAATGACACACATTGCATAGAACAGTAAGTCAGGAAGTGGAGGTGAAAAGTCCCAATGTGCTTTTAAGTAGGGCGGACTAGGAGAGCCTTCTCCAGGTGGTCGTGGAGAAATTACAGAAAGCAAGAGCAGCTGGAAAGCGCAGTATTTCCCAAGGGTCCATCTAGGCCCTTCCAGGAGCCAGGCATAGGCTCAGGGATTTCCTAACAGCTTCCTTTACCTCCTTATTCCTCAGGCTGTAGATGAAGGGGTTCAGCATTGGGGTCACCACAGTATAGAGCACGGACACCACCCTGTCCCTCCCTGAGGACTGGCCCGAGTTGTCTCTCAGGTACATGAAGATGAGAGTGCCGAAGAACAGAGCCACAGCGGTGAGGTGGGAGGCGCAGGTGGAGAAGGTCTTGGCCCGGCCTCCCGCAGAGGGGATCCTCATGATGGCCACGATGATGAACAGGTAGGACACCAGGATCACCACCACACACGCGGGCATGACAAACGTGGCAAACACAACAATGACCACCTCCTGGGTGTAGCTGTCCCCACAGCTCAGCTTTAAGAGTGGAGGGAGGTCACAGAAAATGAAGTCAATCTCGTTGTTTCCGCAGAAGGAGAGAGTGAAGGCTGTGACCGTGCGAACAAAGGCGCTGGAAAATCCGGCAGCGTAAGCCCCAGTGACCAAGCCCCAGAGGGTCTTTTCGGTCATGATGGTGACATAGAGCAGCGGCTGGCACACAGCGGCGTAGCGGTCATAGGCCATGATGGCCAGGAGGTAGCAGTCAATGGAGGCAAAGAAGGTGAAGAGGAAGAACTGAGCTGCGCAGCGAGCCCGGGAGATGGCCGAGCCGCGTTCCCACAGCACCAGCAGCAGCTGAGGGACAGTGACAGAGGAGTAACACATGTCCACGGAGGAAAGGTGGCCGAGGAAGAAGTACATGGGAGTGTGCAGTCGGCGATCTTTGTGGATCAGGACGATCATCCCTGCGTTCCCCAGCAGGGTGGCCAGGTAGAGACCCAGAAACACCAGGAAGAGGGGCAGCCCCCACTCCGGGTACTCCGTGAATGCAGTAAGGAAGAACTCTGTCACCAACGTGCGGTTTCTCCCTGCCATCCGCGCAGAGGTTCACCTGGGAGAGCTAAGACAAAGGTTGGAGGAAGTGACTCCAGAGAAGTGCGAATCATTGCAAGAAATAAAGTCTAAATCGAGTGTCAGCTACTCCCGTTCAATGAATTTTGCAGTTGAAAGAGGATCTAGGCAAATACAGAGCTCACTGCAAACTAAAAAAGTAACAAAAGCTTGCATTGTAGTAAAAATGAAGACCAAGTGACCCTCCGGCTTACAAGTCCTTTCTTGTGTTTGTAGCTCTGTTCGCAATTAGCTGCTTTGTGTTACACCGTGCTCTGACCCTCAATGCTTTTCTCTGCCAAAAGAGATCATCACATCTTCCCCAAGCATGGGACAGTACTCAGATTACAGCAGATGTGAAAGCCAAAAGCACTCTGCATATACCCTAGTTATTGAGAAATTTATACAAAAGTTTTAGGAAAGGAAAATTTATATTCTATGAATGAAAGAGAATGAACCAAAAGAAAACAAAAGTCCATCATCAGTCAGCAATGGGATTCCTTGTAGACATTTCTATTCTCAATCTGACAACATGAATGTTTAACCAGCAGCTGTTTTCCTAATTAGAGCTGGTGGCTTATTAAGGCTTTGTTTAGATGTGTACACGTGCATCCACATCAGCAGTAACCTTGGAACCAGAACAGCGAGCATAAGCTCCTGTCAGCACCTAAGGAAACTCCACAGCATTGCTTGATTACTCTCAGAATCCCTAATAAGAGCAGCAGAGTAATAATAAACAGTGTCCCAATTTGAAAGCAGAAATAAATACTTCTGCAGTCTAGTGTTGTCTGAGTGTTATGGGAGGAGGCTGGGTTAAGGGATTTGGAGGTTCTTAAAAGAGTTCTCAGACAAGGCTATAAAGGGGGGCTTTGATCATGTGTATATTCCTAATGCACCAAAAGCCAGGCCACTACCCGGCTGACTCAGCAGGGAAATTAACAAAGAAACAAAATGAGATCTGGAAGCCCTGCGCTGGCCTGCACTGTTCTCACCTGAATTCCACTTTGCCAGTGGCTCCCTCCTGCCCTTGCTGCTGCTTCTGCTGGGGACCTGCCAATTCAGGGGACGCTTACTTCTAGTTCACCCGTACCACACGTGTGACCCTGGCTGGAAGTTACCTTTCCTCTCTGGGCTTAATCACCATCTTGGTTCCTGTTCAATCAGCAACACATGTGTCCTTAATCACAGCAACCCCATTGAGATGGGCTCATTTCCACCGCCTCTGTGTCTTCTCCTGGCTTCTGAGCATCTTTCTCTTTCCCCTCACCCCAATAAAGCAATACATCTTTGGCACTAGCATTTCCTGGGATTTTTCAGATTCATCTCAAGTGAGTGGGGCTGGGAGATGGACTACCTTGACTCCCTGAGCTTCTGATCCAGCCCTAGACTCTGTTGGTGGCACTTCTTAGAGTCCCTGCCCCAGCACTGGGCTCTAATTGGTCCCCAGGTAATTCTCCAGGGAAAGGTGATCTATCTGCATGCAGCTTCCTAACATGTCCTCTAAAATCTCCAGTTTTCTCTTTAATTTTGAATTCCTGAGGCCCCTCCCATGATTTGCCACCCACAGCAGGGTCTGAGGGAGCTCTTCCTAGCATGGGACCAACACCAACACATATTCTGAAGCCTCCCTGTGTCTCACTTGGGAATTTTGTTGGGCATTTCATATAGTACCACCACACTAGCCAACCGTGACCAGATTCCAAAACAGAGGATGTTTTAAAAGCATGTTATTTTGAAAGTTGAGCTGATTCAGAGAATTGTTCAGGTGGGAGACCACAAGATGAAACCCACGACAGCTGGGTGTGCAAAGGTTAGAAACAAGCATCCACTGAAAACAGAAAAGTCTTTTTCCCTGGTACTTGAGATTGAACTAAAGACCTTCAAACTAAGTTTACCACCTGCTGTTTGTTTTTTGGGTTTTTGTCTTGCTTTGTTTTGTTTTAGTTTTGAAATGGAATCTGAGTAAGTTTCTAGGTTACCAGGCAGGGACCAAACTTGGGATCTTCCTGCTCCACCCTCCTGGAGTGCTGGGATTACAGGGCCACCCCACTGGGCCTCAGAGTTCAGTGTGCACAGCAGTCTGCCTGGAATGTGAGTTGCCATGCACCACTTCCATGGATTCTGATACATCCATGTACAGGGAGCAGTAACTTGCCTGGCTTCTAGGTTTCCTAAGTGATCTTGGCACAGTTAATCTCCAAAGCTATTCTCCAGAGGCGAGGCCCAAAGAAGCAATTGCAGGAGTACTAACCCCATTTGACCCTCTCTGTGCTATGCCAAAAACCAAAGAAAAATAAGACGTGTTCTTGAACAGCGTGACTGCTCCAAGTCCAATCAATTCCTTCCTTCCTCATCAGAGAACTGAGGATGAGTTCGATGTTCAGCAGTCTTAGAAATTTTAGAAAAATCTATACACTGCTTCTTAGTGGCAAGGCCATGACTCAAAGTGGGGCAGTGAGCTGCCAACTGGACCTGTCCAGAAGGCATGCAGGGCAAGACCCTGGGACAGTGGACCTCAAACTTTGTGCACACAAGAATCCCTCGGGGAACTTCTACCATTCTAGGCCCAGGCTGTACCACTTCCAGTTAGGTGAGCAAGCCTGAGTGCACAGGCCAGACACTCGTATCTTTTAATCCCTAGCTGGTTACAATGTGCAGAAGGGTTTGAGAATCACACAGAGGGCTCCCTCCTGCCCCCAGGTGTCCTCAAAGATGTTCCAGGGAGGAAATAAACTTACGTTCTCGTGAGATTAGAGACCATTGCATGCTCTTGGAAAGTCATTGCAAATTAAAAGATGCATAAAATCCTACAATTAAGAAACCTCATCGGCTTTACCTAACCCACCATTTCCCAAAAGTGTTTAACCACAAAGCCTCTTCTTCATTAGCCTCCACGAAGCCAGAGTTCCTAGGAAAGGATGCTGCCTAGGTAACATGGCTCTAAGGAGCTCAGAAATGATCTAAAGCCAAGCAGCAAAGCAGCAGTTATTCCAAGCAGCAGCGTCTCCTGAGGGCTCTTCCCAGGGTCTGACTCCTCCAAGTCTCGGGGAGCCTGGTTCCCCCAAGAGCAGTAGCTCTGTCTGGAAAGACACTGAGAGAGACGCTGAGGGGAAGTTTTCTGTGCAGGTCCCTGGGGAGCTACATCTTCAGAAGACACTACCTTTCCCCTTAGGAAAGACGCTCCCGTCGATTGTGAAGTAGGTCCCCTGGCTGAGCCCCTGCGTTTCTCCCCATAAACATATTGACCCTGTGCACCCCAGCCCCATGTGAAACCCTGGTCGAACCATGCTTTCCGGAAACACTCAGTTAACTCAAATGATTTAATTTAGCTAATCAGGGGCTATTTTTAGAAGGTACATATAGATCAAAACACAACACCACATCTCGTAAATAAAGACAATTATAATGTCTTGATTAAGTTTTAATGCCTTAAAAATGTTTTTAAGAACCCACATAAGAATTATGAGGATGATTCAGCCACTATGTGGCCAGCTCTGTAAGACAACCAAAATGAATCTCAAGGAGTAATGATCATTACGTCACATCTTGTGCTAGGGCCTATAAAACTAGAATAGAGTCTATTTTTCCCTAAGATCTTTTTTCTCCTGAGATCAAAATTTAAAAGAGGAATTCAACAGGATTGTAACTGCAAAGGCTACTTCAGGTGCACGCTGTGTATGGACAGGTGCCTCTCCATCCTCCTAAGACAGAGGATAGACACAGGAAGGGATCCATTGACACGGCGTCTTCATGCATTTAATTCAGGCAACAACCCTGTGATTGGGGCCTAGCACTGCCTAAACCCAGCAGAGTGCATTAGGGAGCATGCTCCTAACTTTCACACCACACTACAAATTCTCTGCATTTGTAGATCCAAGTGTGCATCCTCCACACTTGGGAATAGTTGAAAGAATCTTCTTTGTGTGTCTATACTTACTTTGTAGCCTTTTAGAAAAAAGGGGCCTTGCCTTAGGTATTTTCTTGCCATTAGAACATCACACCAAACTTCCACAAATTAAAGCGAGGTTTATTTTAGCTCATGATTACAATCCAAGGTCTGCAGGCTCCAACACATCGGAGCATAGGGGTGTAGCAGAGAAGTAGCTGTTTCTCTGGTGGCCAGGAAGCAGGGGAGAAAAAGCAGCCAGGGAGGGAAGAGATGCCCTTCCAAGTCCTGCTCCCAGTGACCCAACACCTCCAGCCTGGCCAGGTGAGCTGTATCACCCCGTGGTCCAATCCTCTCCCAGAAGCCCCACCTATGAGCACATGAAGTTTTGGGAAACATTCTCAATCGAAACCAAAGCAGGACTTGACCAAAAAGTAGCTAAGTTTCAGAGTGGGAAGATTTGAAAAGGAAATTCCTGGGGTGGTTGACCAGTCTTCTTTCTACAAAGTATCCTGCACAGCCCCTGCTCACGGGCTGGACTCAGGTCAACCTCCTCACTTCGTGTGTGGTCTTACCTTCCCAGCCACCACTGACTGGATAAGCATGAAGCCTAGTCAGAATTGGGCATAAGGAATTGCCCTTTCTTCTTCCAAAAAGCTACTAAAAGTGTCTATCTATTCCTCGTAGTCAAGCAATCATGGCTTATGGCCTAGAGGAGGGACGAGGGAAGGTGTGAGGACAAATCCTCAGGTCTCACTCTGCTATCCGTGTGCTCTATCTTCCCCCATCCAAACTCAGCAGATCTTGCTCCAGTTCACCCTGGAGGTGCACTTGGCACCTATTGCTGAGAAAGGACTTATCCTGCTGCAGAAGCCCCTCTCAGCTCATCCCTGATATCCCTGCCCTCCCCTCTCATATTCCAGACCTGTGTGATTTTCAAATGCTCTTCTCAGAGGGTGATTAGAGGTCAAAAGATCCGGGCACAGGAAAAACACAGGCAAAGCAGCTGAGGCCTCCCAGTAGGGAAATTATTAGTAGTTGAATCAATTAATTTGATTCTCAGCCTGTGACTTTAAGGCCAAACCGGTCAGCCGGCACT